AGTAGTAAATGGTACCAATAACAGCACATTTGAGCAATGCAATTGTAGTGGATAAAATGGTCAATTTTTCCGTGCAGTACTGTACGGATTATACGCTCCTCACCGGTTAAGAGTTTGGCCGAGAGTTGTCTTCTTCCTTTTCTGGCCTAGTGCTGTTCTTTTCTACTTTGCGCCGGTCAAACTGAAGGTCACATCGCTACGGAAAGTAAATGAAGTATGTTATTAGCTATTTCGGTAAAGTTCTTGTGTTTACACTTTTTCTTATGAATTTGAAAACATCAGTATACCCGAACTGTAATAATTACGGCCGCTTGTTGGTACATATATCAAATTTTGATTAACAATAACTGCGATAACAATTTTGCCACCTTGCAGACTTTTAGTGTTTATAATCATTATAGACTCATTTCAACTGTTTCAACTCAACTCTCGCGTTGAAATCCATCAACCAAGAATTAAAATTTCATTGGTTTAGTGTTTCAGTGACTTCTTTAAAGGGGTTTAATGTAGTTTTGAATGTTAGTGAGGGTGGCATTGAATGAAAAGCCGGCTAAAATGAAGACATGAACTATTATCCGGCAAAATAACTAACCTTCATCAAAGGTAATAATAATAATAGCTATCGTTAATGCTACTTTTTATATTATTCCTAGTTTTGGCTGGTTAATAAGTATTTTTATCAATTTAACAGCTTTGATTTTAACTTGATGAAGATTCAAAAATAATTATACTATGATACCCGAGATAAAAATTTTCAGTCTCTCAGAGTCTCTGAAAGCGAGACTTGAGTCTCCGTCTCTCATCGAGTTTCTCTGGTATCGCTGAGAGAGACTGTCGAGAGACTGTCAAAAAAACTGTTTAGCGTCTCTGAACGAAAGACTTGAGTCGCTCATAGAAAGATCCTCATTTCGTATCCAGTCTCTGAACGAGAGACTCGAATCTCTCAATAAGTGGTGCCTCGATAGACATGGTTAAAATTTTCTAAGTTCAACATATTTCAGAGATCGCAGTCTTTCTACGAGAGACTCGAGTCTCTCAATTTTTCAGTTTTATTCATTCAGTCTCTCTGTGAGAGACTNTTAATAATTTTTTAAAATGGTTTAGTTCACTGGACAAACAAAAGAATGAAATGTTCGATTTTCGGACGAAATTAGCAACAGACTTATAAAAATACGAAAACGCACTTACTGGCACTAAAAACCTCCTAACTTCAGCTAATGCATATGCTATTCTTGCGTGTGCTTCTGCAGGAGTCGCGAAGGCGCTTATTTCTACGTGCAGTTCCTCGCTGAGGTGTTGGAATTTCGGATCACCACTTGCCCTAAGTTCTTCCTCCTGTAACAAAACAGAAATTTAATATTAAATTTTATATACATAAATATTTCATTTCTGAAGTGTTCTTAAATTCGAAACATGGAAAAACAGAATACATGTAGTAAAAACCAGCATAAATCCAGAAAGTATCTAATTTGGAACCCTTATTGGCGTATAATTTTTTTGACAGTAATCTTATGTTTAAGACCTTTGACACTTATTGCGTACCTAAATGTTGTAGGTACTATTCAATTCGAATTTTAATGAAGAAGAAGAAAGTGCCCCTACACCAGAGTTGTGATTAATTTGAAATACTTGTATTTAAAATGCAAATACAGAATGAAAAAACCGATATTTATCTTGCATTAAAAAAAAAGCATTTTATATTTTATTTAAAAGTATACGTGCACATTATATGTTTTTATATATGCAAACCGATTGAAAGACCTGATCACAATCAGTCAAACAACAACACTCTGTGTCTTTCGACAGAAACACAAATTAAAATTTGACGTATACAAGTACTTCATCATAAAGTCATCAGTTCTAAGACAAGTTGGACACGTACCTCCACTCTTTCCTATCCTGAGCTAAACTTCGCATTTCCCTAAAACTAGAACAGCCCACATCCTTAACTATTTGCGAACAGTAATCTAATCTAGGTCTACCTCTACCCCTCCTAACTCCTGTTTCTGCCTCTAATATGT